GTTTCCCTTTCTACTTGTTTGGGAAAGTGACAGTACTTGCGTCCTTCAAGGGCAAAAGGCAGAGAATTCTCAAAATTTTCTCCTTCCTCTCTTGCTAGTGAAAATTACTAAAAATTACAGCTTACAATCTGGAGTGTATTTAATCAAAGGTTCTAAAGTGGTTTCCATCAGGTGGTAATTGGTATCTTTAGGTTGTTTTCAGCTATTTGCAAACAAAACAAAACATAAACATTTCACAACTAGCTGAAATGTAAAGCCTCTTTGCTGTTGGCTGGAATTAAATTATCTAGTTTGGTAACACCAGCTACCTCACGATGATAAGAGGTTTTGGTGAGAATTGAAATAGAATTGTTCAGCACAATAAAAAAAAAAAAAAAGACCTTTCAAAACATAGGGATCATGGGGTAGAATAATAAAAAAGATCCTTTATGTAAAAACTTGGCAAAATCTTGGAGGAGGCTCTGATATGCTAATTTTATAGATGAGTAAACTGAGATTTAGACAACTTTGCTCTTATTGATCCCTTCCCTTTACTAACATCCTTTCATTCTTGGATATTAATACACAATTTAATAGTGATGCAGGGCTGGTAGAGGGCACAGCGGGAGAAAGTCCCCATACTTGGATTGATGCTCTGCTGTCACCGCCTTGAAATTCTTATCAAGTTTTGAAGGAGGGCTCTGCATTTTCATTTTGCATCAGGCCTCACAAATTATGTAGCTGGCCCTGTAGCTATGCTTATGTTTTTCTTATATTTCATTATTTCCGCCGCAAGACAAAGTTATCTAGGAGCTTAACTTTTGGTGTTTCTCACCCCTTTTCCCAAGGTGTCTCTCACACCAGTGACTAGTGGATATAGAGCCACAAGGAGGGCTGAGACCGTGGTCTGTTCCTCTTTTCATTTCTAGTGCTAAGCTCGGTGCTTGGTACAGAGTAGGTGCCTAACGAACAGTCAACAAACACCTTTGACTTCTTTCATTGACAAAACATTCAAACTTTAATAGTTTTAGTTCTGCCGTGAAGAGTAACTCAGTGAATTGGGAGAGATTAAAGGTAAAATATTCAAGGGGAAAAATCTTTCTTGGAAATAATGAAATTGGATTGAGGGAAAGTTTAAAATAAGTAAATTGGAAAGACAGGTTGAACTCCAGGTTGAATACGAAGTAATGGGTGGGAGGAGGGATGAATGGTTAAAAGTAGTTAGATGTCTCTCAACAAAGGTACATCCTGAGATGGATCCTTTCTTCTCAAATTCAATTTAATACATGTCTGATTTAACTTGGAAGTTTTAATTCAAGAAATGATAATTGTCCACGTTTGGGGGAAACGGGATATATAGGCTGCGCATTCAGAAGGAACCAAGAGATTACTGATTCTTCTTTGACTATTCCAAGGGTTCCTTGACCTACTGTTTTGCATTAAGAAGCAGAGTAATTTGAATTTTTAAAAAAAAAAATGTAAGGAGAAGTAAAAGTTTTAATGTTTCCTCTGCCTCTGGGCAGAACTGACAGAGCTCATGCTCTGGTTCCCAGTTATCATAGCTTGGCTAACCACATTTATTATTTAAACCATGATAGTTTCCTACCCTATGTTCACTTTGGGAAACATATTTCTAACATTCATTTTTGTAAAATAAAATAAACAAACACTCCTTTCTCTGGAGACTTTTATGTTGTGTTAGATCACTGCTCATATTGTTTGGAAGTATCAGTTCTTTACAAATTGTGTATCTCCCTCAGTGAGGTTATCTCTTAATGGTCTATTGCCTTTATCCGGGATAAAATAGTGCCGTTCTAGCCACCTTTAAAGAGGTTCCTTATAGCATAGTCTTGTCTTATTTTCTCTATTGTTGCTCCATCACACTCGAATAAGTGACTTAAGCTGTGCACAGATGTTCAGGTGTGGCTTTAATTTCTTTTTATATTCCAGGATAATAAGTTCTTTTAACATATTCATTACTTCTATTATGGTTCTCCAAATTATGCATGGTGCTGTTATAATGCCGGTTCACTGAATATTAAAAGATATGAGAGCAAGCAATTTTACGCTTCAGGTGATTATTTATGGGAAAATTCAATTTCTGGAGTATGATGGTGGACTAGAGGTGGTGAATAATAGCGCTGACATTCACAAGCAAAGAGAAGCAACAGTGGAAACAAGCATCTGGGGGAGAGATAGCAGTGAAGGAGTGAATGGGAGAAGAAGTGGGAGCATATCAGTTAGAAACACTCAGATTGTAGATAGGCCGTGGGGAGGTGTTAGGGCCGCACATCTGAGCTCCAATCTGGTGTGCTTGCTGGGCCAGGGAAAGAATTACAGGATTTGGTGAGATGCACAACAGAGTTTCATAGACTATCTCTAATGGAAAAGGAGATGATAAAAAAAGGTAGCTTCATCAATGGAGAGGAATGTAGATTTTTGGCTCCCTAAATCTCTACTGGAATAGAACTACAGGGCTACAAAACATATTCTGTGTTAGGCAAGAATGTTCCTCATTCTCAACCTTGAGGAAAGTGACTACTCAGACAATTCAATGATGGTATTGTACAAGAATGTGGATGGCAGAATCACCTTTATTGTTCCCATTCTTATGTGACTCACACTTGAATAAGAGTGCTTTAGGGATTTGGCTGCTGGAATTATAGCCGGTATTAGAAAAACTCCACCTAGAATGCCCGGCTTGGGTCCTGTGGGGCCTGTACTCTCAGAATGCCTCAGTTTTACAAATCAACGAATGAAGGAATGGGAGAGAAGAAATGGCAGGGTAAAAAGTACTTTGAGTTTTATTTCACAAGCCAACATTAAAAACACCAATATTCAAGCACCCAAGTTCCTTCAATTACCAGGAATTCTTAACTTAAAAACAACAACAATATTTTTATTTAAAAATAAAAAGAAGATCCAGAACCCTTAGTCCAGTTTTTATTGTCTAAGGCCAAGCAAGCAGAGAGGCAAGCTAGTTTTACTAATTTTAGAAAAGTAATGAAAATATAGAAGAGGAAATTGGCAACTTGATCCAACTCACTTCAAATGAAAGTTTGAGCTGAATGTGACATGAATATTCAGACAATAGCCACGTGTTTGAAATTGCTCTTGAGTATAATTCCAAAATTTATGCATTTTTATCATCTCCCAGGCAAAAAGCCAAAGGCTAAAAGAGCACAACACGAAAAAGCTGAACCTGAATTATGTTCTAAACCCTGTTGAGTTTAATTTTACTCACAAAGCAGAATGTTAGTTTGCCGCTTAAATGTGCCCCTCACAGCCCTGTAAAAAGACCTAGTTTCTCGTTATCAGCATCTAAACTGTGTGACTCATTTAGAAAGCTCCGATTTCAGAGGCATCATTCTAAATTACTGAGCAAGTGCTGCACAATAAACACAAATAATCTCAAACAGACTGTAGCATGAGAAGAAAGCAATTTTCTAGAAATTTGACTGCAGTGTGGGGTGAGCAGTTCCATGAGCCTTGTAACTTCGAAAGGCATAGAGGAAAAATTTTAGCTAAATGTAATATTGTGAGAGGGTGAGCCCTTAAAAGGTTGTTGCTTTATAATAGGCAATACAGATACACAGTCTTGATATAAACTTGTAAAAAAGTTCAAACAACCTTCTGAACAGAAACAAACACACACACAAAAAAAATGAACAAGCTGCTATGCACCCAGATACACACTTGCTTCAAATCAACATTTTACTTGGACCAAATGATGGATGCACTACCAACAGTCAGTAAGCCTTAGATGAAACATACAACTAAAACAAAGAGATGATGAATCTTACTATATACCTTACATTTTTTGCTCAAGATTTTTATAATATTGATAAATTCTTAAAAATTGTAATTGGAAAACACTCCAAGTGAGTAAGAAATAAGATAATCTAAGATATACGTTTCTGCTGTGGATTGTGAAATTTTGATTTGCAGAGATCATGCAAAGGGTCTTAGCATGCAATACGCATAGCACACAAAGTGTAATTAGGAGCAAAAGGGAGAGGCATAAGGTGAGATTCTGGTATGTTCTAGTTTGTGTCTTGAATGGTAGTTTCATGGTGTGTTCACTTGGTAATTTCTCTTTGAGCTGTACATCTGTACACTTATAATTTGTAAAATTTTCTGTAGGTACTTTGTGTCTCAATAAAAAGCTAAAAGGGGGAAAAGAAGAAGAAAGAGAGGAAGAAAGAAAAGAAGGAAGTAAGGAAACAAGGAAGGAAGAGAGAAAGGAAGGATAGAGGGAGGGAGGGAGGGAGGAAAGGAGGGAGGAAGGGAAGGAAGGAGGAAAGGAGGGAGGGAGGGAGGAAGAAAGAAAGAAGAAAAAGAGAGAGAGAGAATGCATGCTAGCAGCTACATTTTCCATACTGAGAAATAATGTGGTGAAAGAAATTGGTACTGTTATTTACTTAATTCAAATAATGTGTAGCTTTATAGGGTCATACTATTTGGCAGCCTGGTTCATAGTTAAAAACCACTTAACTGTCATTTCTGCACAGAAAATTGTATTGGCATTTTCAGACTTTAAAAAATCCCTATGACTTAACAGTTGTAAATGCCACTGTATTAGGCATGCCGTTAGTTTTCCTGTTTGGGGAAGCAGAATTTAGAAGTTAGTGGAGGAAACACATGCCTGGAGGCTCCACTGACTTTGCATTTGAAAAAAGCACATAAAGACACAAACACATTTTATCTCTGTATTCCAAGGGTCTTTGTGGCTCAACTGTTTACCATTTCTATTTGGCATTACGTTGATTAAACACTTAGTGACCACTTATTACTAGAGGTGTTTTGGACCCTGAAGCTGGATCTGTAGGTTTTGTCTGTTACTAAGGAGCAGTTTTCCATGTAATATTTTCAAAGGCAAAAGGTTAAGCAAAAATGACATATATTGTAAAATTGAAAGTAAAATGCACAGTACTGATGTGCTCAAAGTCCATGCATTTAAATTCCTTTGTATGATAATTTATGGTGATCATGTCTTCAGACTGCACTATTAGCATACTCACCCCTAACAAGAAGTTCTGCCTCATCTGACACACTGTCTGCTGTGGTCTGTACCCTGCAGCCATATCTCCCAGCATGCATCAGAAGGATGTTCCTGATCATTAAATCTGCAGAGGATGCTTGCTGAAAGAGGGATGAAGTGCCAGTTTAAAATGTTGCAAATCTGCCTAGTTCAAGGTGGTTTAAGGGGAACTTTGCATATTTAGTCTAAGGGCCCATTTTTGGCCTTACAATTTATAAGACAACAATTCAGAAATCAAACATGCCCTAGTTTAAGGAACACATGGAAGTTATGTTTTCAACAATTGCTGATACAGGGTTTGAACATTTAATATTGCATATAATAATTTAGCAGCTATAATCTCTAAGAATATTTAAATATGCACACAAATTCATATCTTTAAAAGTATAAGAAAAATAATCATTGAGCAAAAATTATTTCTTTGCTATTCAGAGACAGGCCTATTTTTGTGGCAAGAAAATAGTATTGAAAGGAATGACAACTTGTGAAAATTACTTCTGAGAAGACAGCAGTGAAAAGATTATCTTGTATGGCTTTATTGAGTGATTCTTTTTGTAAATACACCATGGGAACGAGACAGTGCTTAGGTAAAGACTGCTGGTCCCAAAACCATGTATTCCTCCCATGACCATGATTTCACCCCCCACAACTGAATCCTGGCTGCCACAACACTAATCCCCCATAACCATCAGGAAGCAGGGTCAACCTGAGTCTTTGTTAATCAATGCAGATACAAACGCCAAAGGAGCTCAAAACACCCGATTCTTGTTTTGAGCAAGATGTTTAGAACATGGCTGAAGAATAAATGCAGTTGGGGAGATCCGTAGTACCAGGAAGAGTATCTGTTAGATGTATCAGTTCATGGGATCGGTGATGATCCTCCCTACACTCCAGACTGACTGGTGCAACTTTTAATTACCTAATCTCGTCTTTCCTTTTCCATGAATATGTAAAGATCTGGCATTTACAATCACTCACTCATGAGGTAGTTTTTTGGTTTTTTTTTTCCAGATAATGACACAGCAAAACTCCAATACACTTTTCATTTTCCACGTTGCAATAAAAAAAAAAACAATTGACTGGAATGAGAGCAGATGCATGCAGCTTGAAATGACATATTCAGAGAACTCAACACTCTCCAACAGCTTGAACACATGAAAGAATGTTTAAAGCATGTTATGGAGAAGTACCCCGGATAAGAGATCTTTTAATTTTTGATGGGATGGTGAATTACCCTTAAAAATAATGCATTTGTCCTTAGAGGGCAGTATTCTGATGATTATTCAAGAGATTAACTGTTTGCATTTATTTTGAAATAGACCAATGAGTTATATGAAAATGAGAGGGGTTTCTAGAAATACTTTGTATGTTTTTTCCTTGGCATTCATTCCTTAGCATCTAAATTAATTACTTAACTGTATACTATTGTTTCCATTTCTTTCTGGTATTTCATTGCTGATGGTGTTTTTTTTTTTTATCTCTTTCTAATAGTCTTATAGGAACTTCTAAGGGTGTTGAACTTTTCTCTCATGAAATAATTGTTAAACATGATCTGGTTTAGTTATTTACAAGGGAAAGCTTCATAGTGAGAATGCATTAAAATGTCATAACAATTATTTCAAGGAATGTGATATTTGTTCAGTAAATGTCCTACGCTGCTAATTTCTTTAGGATAAATGGTTACTCTTAAATTTCATTTTCTCATCTCTACTAGACTAAGGAAGTACTCACTTCTTTCAAGTCAGAACAGGAAATTTACACTTTAATACCTCTTAACTATTATGGGGCAACAAAGCAAACTATAAACATTATAAGCCATAATTCAGTTTCAAATCAGCATCATTTAATAAGGTATAAATAGGCTTCAACATATTTGCCACTTTTGTAGTATGGGCCCATCTTAGATGTGAAAATCTCCTTTCCCTCCTGGATTCCTAAGAAGCTCTCCTGGTGGGGTACTCAATTAAATTAATCAGGAATCAAATTTAAAATCACGGGCACCGAATGGGGCTTATGTCTAATGGAAAAGCTAAGGAGAGGCCCAGAAAATGAGAAAGGACTTCATTGTTTTCTAAAATGGGCTTCTGAAAGGCTGAGGTTGGTGTTTTCGGTTTGCTTTATTGTTATTTTTTATTTGAGTGTTTTTCACTATCACATGCTGGTGGTGGTTAAATAGCTTTAAAAGTCATTATTGTAAGTCATTATTGAGGCTCACATTTTTGAAAAAAGTATTTTGTAAAATCACATTCCTGTGATTAAAGAATTGTCTTATTTTCCAGACCCTTTTCTTCCAAAATATTTTTTTTTTTTTGGTCCTGGACAAAAGTCCCTAAAGCTTTGTCTTTTAAGGTGAAATATATTGAAATAAAAACTTAATGGGTTAAGAAGAGCCTTCATTAAAAATCTCAGGAGGGAGAGGTGCATATTATCATTCCTATGTTGTCCTTCACTTGGTTCCTGCAATTAATAGTGTGGAATGCCTTATACACTGGCTGAAGTTCTATCACCATCTATCAGGAATAAAAAAGTCTACCATCTATTGTATACCTATCAATACCAACACTATTTGAGGACTTGAAGTCTCACTTTGGGTCCATCCCTTCTCTTTTGAATTATATCTGTATTATTATTTTTTATAATTTTAAATGGGGAAAATTAAAAATAAAATGAATGGATTGTGAACACTAAACCTAAATTACCCTTTCAGTAGATTTACTGATCTTTCAAAAGAAGTAATGAGAAGAATTCATGTGGGAACCCATTACACTTAATCTTAGCCCACAGTATGCAGTTCCTGAGAGAGAACCTTCGCAATTTAGTGCACTGTTAATAAAATGGTTACTTAGAGCAGATGCTTGCTTCCTTCAGCTTAAACCTCATTTTCACTTTTTCCCTCTCAGGGGCTACTCTCTCTTGTTTTCTTTGACACTTGCTTTATATCCTATATTTGCTTTGCTGCTTTCTTTGGCTTTATGATCAAATTATGTTGCTTCAGATAAATGTCCCCTACCAGTAATTAACACAAGGCTTTAGGAATTGTACATCTAACACAAGGCATGCCACATAGTGAGAGCTCAATGTATAGTTGTTGATTGAATGAGTGTGTGAGGTTCTTTATGAAAGAGGTTGCATGTTCACTCTGTGAGACCAGCAACATGGCTAAGTCATTTACTGTTCTTGGCCACATGGTGTAACTTTTAGAGCAGTTGCTAAATTATCTAACTTTCATTTATGACTTTGAAATAATCCAGGGAATGTCATCATTTCACAAGTCCAGTTCTTTATAGCATTTTACTTTGACTAAGCGCCTTGCTTAAAGATTTCCTAAAAATGGAAAGCTCATTGAACGTTGATATTCAAAGTGTCTGCTGGCTCTTACTGCCCTGAGGTTAAAGTCCAATTTCCTTATTTCAACACAGAAGAACCCTCCAACCATGATTTCACCTCCCAAGACTGAATCCTGGCCTGCCTCAACACTTATCTCCAGTTTCCCTGTGCCTGGGGATCCTTCCATCACTCCACCTGCTCTGCTACTGCAGATGCTCTTTCTCCTTTGCCCAGAAAGACACTTTTAGATGCAGCTCAAAAGACTTCTCCTTGGTTAAGCTTTTCCAGACCTTCCCCAGGCTTCCTTAGTGCTGACACTGCTTAGTTATTTGTGCTTCAATAGTACTTCACTCTTGTCTCTGAACTAGCACTTGGCATTCTTGAAAGTCTCCTCGAGTCCACCTGCCAGTCCTCCATGGGCATTCCCCGAGCTGGGCTAGGTAGCGATGCAGCTGATGGTTACTGGGTGAGCTAATGGATGCATGAGGGCTTCTTTCCTTTCTTCTTTGTTCCGATAATACCCACCTCCCCTCTTTCTCAAAGAAATTGGGGAAGGCAAGGGAACAGACTATGGAGAGAGACAGTGGGAAAGGATACTTAAAGTTACATAAAGGTTTTGGAATGACAAAGAACTGTATGAACCCCTCTACCACTTATTAAATTTTGAACTTGGGAAAATTACTCCACTGCTTAGAGGTTCTCGCACAGATTCAATGTGATAATGCAAGTAAAGCCTATAGTAGTGTTTCCGGCACATACGCGTGTTTGATAAATGTTGTCTGTTAAATGGCACTGTACTTGCATTCTTAGCCAGCAGAAATATTTCTTTAAGTAGTATTCACTCCTTCAACAAACTAGATATCAATGTTTTCCATAGCTGTAGTAAGTTTCCTAACTACCTGGCTTTATTTTAGATACATACATCCTCCTTTTCTCTCTTATAGCAAACCTCTGCACTCAGAACAAGCAGACATGAGGTCTAGCTTTTGCTTTAGCCTTTCCAAGCCCTGAAACTACGGGAAAGTTCTTTTCTTTTTTGATAATAACAGCTGCTCTGTTTTTCTCAGGAATTGAGGAACATCAAGTGAAGCAATGTATATATGTGAACTACTGGGAAGTGTGAATTACTCTTAAAGCCTTTTTTTTTTTCCCCCACCAAGATTGAGTAAGCACTCTGAGAAAGTTTGGAAAATGTATCCTTCAAACAAGGTAAATTGAATGTTCTCAAAAATAGTGGACTCATGCTGAATGAGTCGTCAAAAAACTGCTGGATATGGCAATTTACATTCCCTTATTTAGGGTTTACTTCACTTTCTCAAGGGGCTCACATAGGGCCCACCCAGCATCCCCAGCCCCCAACAAACAGACATATAAACCATTCCTCTATATAAATTCTCTAAGAAACAATTTTAAAAATATTTTCTAACATGAAAAACTGGGTGTTAGCATGAGACGCTTATTATAGAACTTGTGTAGTTAAAAGATTTTCCTGGTCACAGTATTTCTTTTTCCCAGAGGATAATTTGTTTAAAGTATCCTACAATATGGAAACAATAAACATACATTTTCTTTTTCTTTTTACAACCTTTCTTAAACTTATGTAGTATGAGATTTACATTAGTGATGATGTGTGTTTTAATATATGTTTTTAAGAAAGTAGCTGATATTAATGGTGCTTAAATAAGTGGACATATTATCAGAAATAGAAATACTAACTGCTACTAATGATGAAAATACTAGATAAATTACTGGAAGACTTGTCTTTGCTAGCAGT